TATACATATATATATATAATACCTGTATAATAATGAGACTGTCCAAGACATCTCTATCTCTCTATCTCTCTATCTCTATGTCCCCATCTATCTCCCCATATCTTTGTCTACCCCAGGACCCAGCAGTCCGCTCCAACAACCCGGACAGCCCAGGGGAACCGCCGCAGGAGACAACTCTGGGAACGTTTTCCGGTAAGAAATAATATCTCGCACAACTAGAATGTTGTAATTTGGAACAGATATAATTCATTCAAAAGGAATTTGTTTTGACATAAAATTCACAAAGAAGAAACTTATTTTCAAAACTGGAAATGGCTTTTATGAAAACCACCTATAAATGAAAAATGCACCAATTGAAAAGATCTTGTAAGAAAGTCATGAAATTATTGATTTGTTTTTTCTTTCCTTTTATTTTCAAAATCTAATCCCTGTAACCTTTAAACTTAAACAATATTCTTCTACTACAGAGCTTTAAAAAATATTTTTTAAATTCTGGAATTCCGAGAACCAATGGTCTATATGTCTTCCTTTGGACTCGACACATTTTAACACATCGTTCGTAATGTTCAGTGGTGACCAAACACAAGGATCCACTCAACCATGAGTACTCAAAGCCACACACACTGTACACCTTACAGTATGGAGCTGTTTCTAGAGACAAATGGGGGGGGGTGAGGTTGGCCAAATAGACAGCATTAAGGAGTTAGTAAAACCTGAAAGGTGAATATTGGGCTTTGACAAGGAACCAAATGTCATAGAAGAAATGTTCACGCTTTTCAAGACGATCGAGGAATCATGAACAAATTGCTATCCTCTGATCGCTTCGCGAACAGGAAAATGGTACAGTCGTAGATGAAGATCTGCCTTGAGAATGCGGACCGTTGAGATGTAGGAAAGTCATTGCTGCAGACATCGTCTACGGACAGACGTCTCATGGGGCTCATCTTCTGAATTCTGCACCCTGGTGACGTTTAAATGGGTGCGAACGGTGTGTTTGATCTGAAGTGGTCATTTTGTCTGGGAATTTTTAGTTCTGATTCTCTACAGGTCCTAACTGATGGACCATTTCCACCCTTGGCATCAAAGAAGGCCTTATGGACACTTTAACATTATTTCTGTACCTTGTGCGAAACTTACGAAATGAGTTGATGGTGAGGAAATGTTCAATACAAAAAAAAACTCTCTGCACTTTACTAATCGTAACCATGACCTCAGCAGGCAAAGGAAACTTGAGAAAAACTATCTGAAAACTTCTGTTGGCCTGTTAAACTGCTGTAATTTCACAATATGGTGCAATCGTTGGGATTTTTAGTGATAGGCCTAATGCGAACTAGTGCGTCATGCTACAAAAAATGGGGACATAGCTGGAAATGGGTTGTTGTTTTTTTGTGCGCTATGTAGATCTAGTGCAAAATTATTCAGTGCATTTACTTAAAATGAATATCAGACAAATTCTTTTTGAATTCCAAATGTTGGGTACAAATTTGAAACACAAAACTTGAGTGGGGAGGAAAATACATGTATTAACAACAAAGTTGTACAGCTTTTTTTGTTGTTTTTTTTAATCACCCTGTATAATGTACCTCCCCCCTTTCGCTCATGGCATGCCTGTATATATATATACACACATACCGCTATAGTCACTGACCCTCGCTCTTTTTGCAGTTATCTCTTCCTATTGTGTTGATTTCCGAGAGTGACAGAAAAGACAGAAAACCAAACCGTTAAACATTAAGAAAGACAAACATTAAAAACACAATCGGGACTTATAGTGCGGTCAAACATTCGTGGCACAACGTATTGTCAAATATCTCCTCAACTATCCAACATAAACTCTCCAGCTTTTGCTCAGTTACTTTTATCAATTTGTCTTAACAGATTAATATTTTTGTAAAAACCTGTTAGCTCCATTCTCGAAAATTCCTGAATTAATTTTTTTTTTTTTTAATCCCAGTGGGTTGTTTCTACAGATTTTAAAAGGTTCACAGCTGGGACAATATCGCTTTTAAAAGCAAGTCCGTCATTTTTTTGGGTTCGAATCGCGAAATTATGTTTGTAGGTGAGTACTGCAGTGCAGACGTGGGCTGGACGCCAGTGTGCCAGGCTGGTCACGTGTCTGAGGCTGGTCAAGGGACAGCTGTGGGCGGGACGGTGAGTGAGACAGTCTGTTCTAGGTCAAGCTGTTGTAGCTGCACTTGGCCGCTAGGTGGAGCCAGCAGAGTTCATTCACAAACATGCTTTGTTTATGTATCAGTGCTTTGCTCTTCTTTTTGGGTTTTTGTTGTTGTTGTTGGTGGGTTTTTTTGGTTGTTATTTTTTGTTTAGTTTTGTTTTTCCCCTCTGACCCGTGGTCGAATCTCTTTGTTTTCTTGAACGTCGGTTTCTTTATAGCTGTAACTGGTAAACGATAATAAAAGTAACCGTGCAGCGATCAGGTACTTTGCAGTCACATGGAGAAGATCCGAGTTCAATTCTCGTGTGGGGAGAGTTTGTATCGTGTTTCTCGGTCTTAGTGCTGGGACGCTGTACAACAATGTATCCCTCTGTAAGCCCAGGTTGGTCTTGATGGGCAGGGTCGAAGCCCGTCCCCTGAATGACCTAAATTGTGTTGATGGGGATGTTAAACTTCTACGTATAAAAACTATAAAGAAACAATGAGCCCAAGCAAGGTCCCCAGCTTTTCACCTGTGATAACTGAGGTTCCTGCAACGCTGTTGAGGAATTCTTCATGGATTCGACTAATTCCTCTTTCTTTTTTACCTGCATGTTCTCTCCACAAATCCCACTCTGTATTCAGCATGTGTGCACGCCGCATGGTCATAACATTTGTCCCCACTACCTAGACAGCTTCGATCTTCTCTGATATCATCGCTTGTCCACTCCATGTGTTTCTCTAAAAAATGTAGACCTAGGCCTACCCTCTGTCATAAGACTTTTGTGTCAAACGGACAAACATCTTCATCTATGTTCGAGAACACTACAATCTAGCTCAAGCCGTTCCACTCAACCGTCCCTCTGTTGTCTCTATTCAACACTACCATCTCAACCGTCCCTATATTGTCTCTATTCAACACTACCATCTCAACCGTCCCTCTATTGTCTCTATTCAACACTACCATCTCAACCGTCCCTCTATTGTCTCTATTCAACACTACCATCTCAACCGTCCCTCTATTGTCT